TATATAATATCATAGCTGAAAATGAAATCTCAAAAGAAGACACATGTTTTATTTTCTGCGCACACACATCCGCAGTCCGTCGCCATTGTAAATATTTGGCTTTAAGGCACCGCGAGGCTAATTCGTTTTTATGCCCGGCCCATGAAATATTTAAATTATTATTTATTGCTGAGTTTTCCCCATTTGCATTTGCCATTTTCCATTTTTCCACTCGTGCGTCTCTTTCGCTCGCCGCATGTTAACGGATATTGGGGAAAATGGTTATGCATTCGTCCATAAATTGCGCAGGACTCATAAATCAAGCGCGCGAGACTTCAATTAATGCCCCACTATTGCCAGCGATAATTCATTTACTAATTTATCTTTTGCAAACAGAGAACGGCGTGCCAGCATTAATTACAATACAATTACTTATGGCGAACATGCTCATAATTATCTGATTGGGGGTGTGGCATCCATTCATTTGCATCTTCGCCAATGGCACTTCTTCAGAGAACCTGAGTAATTTTGACGACGTCTTAAGATGACAACAAGCTTAAGAATTTTTAAAAAAGGCGGGCAGTTGCAATCAAGCAGTTTTCCTAGCAAGCAGTGTGTGGTGAATAAGTTTTGTAGTTACTGCTTATCAAGGGATCTTTTGATCGATCGGAGGGAAATTTTAAGGGAATTGAAAGGGGAGAAATATAAATATTATTTTTGTTTTTATGTGTTTACAAAGATACACAATTGGAAAAATTAATACAATACTCAATTAGGTTTTTAAAAGTATAAATCAGAAAACGAATTAGCCTTTTATAACAGTCAGGATGGAAAAAGTATATAAAAATAGGGATTATTTAAAATAAAAAAATATTTCCGGTCTTTAATGTTTTTTTGTCTTACTCTTTTTTCTCATTATTTTTTTATTTATATAAACAATTAATATACAGTACTTATACATATTTTTTCTACGTTTGGATACACCTGTTAATTTTATTTAATTCTCTGCAGTATATGTGTTTTTTAAGCCTGTTTATCTTCTGGTGTTTACTTCTAAACTAGTTAAGTGTATATATCATAGAAGATAATTTTTTTGACCCCATAACGTTTTTATAATCCTTATTAAGATTCCATCTGTCAATAATCAATAATCACATAAGACTGATAAAACTCGTTTGCGAAATACGTTTTTACTGTATTGATTTTTCTATATATCACATATTTCAACTATTTTCAGGTAAAGAATGATATTTGATTTATTGTAATTTTAATTTAATTTTTAAAAGTCCTCTAACTATCCTAATTTTCTGCTAATTTTAAACATAAAGGGTGTTTTATGGTAGTGGTGCCTTCAAAGCACCGTTATTTATTTTTTATTAATTTCATTTAAATGCAAAAAGTTTATACCTTAATCCTTTCTTGGCAAAATATCAGATACATTTTGTGTTTACACTATTGGCCACAAGCCAAAAGACTACTTGCCAAAAAGCAAAAAACCTGGGCTCAACATAAAGTCAATATTCACTCAAAAAAAACTGTTTATAATTAAATTAATTAAGAGCTACATTACTCGACAATTAAATATTTAGTTTAAGATTAAATAATTTAAAAATATTATTAAATAGCCCACGTTGGGGTCAACAATAAATTCTTCAAAAATGTTATTTACTTCCTACTTTACTTAATCGAATTAAAGCCAATATTCACTCATATTCACTCACTATTAAGCTAATTGAAAGGTACCCTTCTCAACAATTATTTTAGTTTTTAGATTGAATAGATTAAAAATATCTCAAAGTAGTCCATGTTGAGGTCACTAATAAATTCTACACAAAACTTCATCTTATAACTTTTCCTAACATTTTGTTAATTACCAAATATTTATTAATTTTAAAATCACACCGAGTCACACTCACTCCACAAGGAAATTTAGAAGCCACCGAAATCTTATTTCACTTCTGAAAACACATTTTGGGGCTTTTGTCAAATCTTCAACGAAATACTCACCCAATCGAATTTCACGTGCCGTTGCCCGCGTTTTATTGTGATGACAGCTCCTTGGCAGCGCATATAGAGTCGCAGATCTGGGCATCATCATCAGCCATCAGCAACTCGTAAAACCAACACCACAGCCTTTGTTTACAACCGCGCTCGTCGTTAGGGATGTGGAAAATAGTGGGAAAATGGATGCTGGATCCGCGTATCTGGGCCACTGCATCCTGGCCAAACGATCCCAGTCGAATGAGCGTCCGCCTGTGGAGGCGTTTCGTTTTGGAAGCCAGTGATTGTCGGCGTACTCGGTTTCCAGGTTCCAGCAACAGCATCCAACAAAAGTGCAAGTCGGAAGCAGTGCTGCGACTGATTTAGAGTATAAATTGGTTAGCTGAAAATGCTTGAAGAGGCAGAAAAAATGAGTACTTGACCAAAACAAACATTTTTTGATTGTACTCCAATAATTAAGTAATAAATCAATATCTAACAGTAAAAATTTCATCTAAAAAAGGAGAAAAGCCTTCCGCAAACCAAAATTATTTTTATTAAACTATTTATTGTTAAAAAAATTTAAAAGCAAAAGGAATTATCTGACTATTTAACTAAAAATGTTGTATTGAATATTTATTTAAACATTATATCGCAATATTAAATACAATGCATATTGAATTGCATAAAGTATTTCAATCAATAAGGAAAATATTAGGTTTAAAATAGTTCCTATTTGATTTAAATGCATTTTGTATAATTTTAATACTGTTTAAATGAAAAATAAGTTTTCATATACTTAAATCAATTCCGAATACAGTCAATTTAATATTTAAAATAACTAAAAACCGCAATGAACGTCAATCAAAAGGAAAAATAGTTAAATAGGGTTTTACCAGCGAAGCTTAAAAACTGCAATGCTTTCATTTCACCATTTGTCACTTAACTAGAGGTAGGTAATGCGGCAGTTATGTGTTTTCAATTTAAATTAAGAATCGCTTTAGGCTTTTATCAAATATTGTTTGCGGTTAAGGGTCAATCCTTAAGCAATAGGTGTCCATTTCAAAAGTCTATGAAGAAAGTTTCCTAATTGTCTTCACAAAAAACCGTATTTAAGCCCAAAGACACGTTCAAAATCATAAAAGTCGTTTGTAAAAGTCTGGCTTTGGAAATTACGATTTTTTCTATACTTAGACATTGCAATAAAGTGTCTAGAACGTCATCACTGGTCATCTACCTCAGTAAAGATTAAATAGAAATGCGCAGGCGTCAACTTTTGGTGGCCCCCATCCTTCTGGAAACGGCAACGGAAGCGGAGGAGGAACTGAAAGTGAGCTCTGCCTCAAGCCTTCTGGCGGGCTCCTTAGCCAGGCTTTACTGTTGCCATTTTCTGCGGCAGGGTGGCCTGAGCAGCACGATTTCCAACCCCTAAGCCTCAACGAGCCGCTCAATCTCACAGCTTGCCTTCCAATCGACTTTTGCCGTCGCTCTCTCAGGGGAGGTTTCTACCCAGAAAATCAATAAAAGTCACGTCGACGTCCATGTTGGCCCGTCCTGCTGCTCCCGCTGCTCCTGCTGCTGCGAACTCAACCTCCTGCGCCGGCAGACAATGAAATGATGTTCCAGCCAAAGGACGACAGGATGGGGAGTTTCAGACGAGGACGCACGTGTTGTCCCTGGACTTCTGGCTCGAATGCGTGCGAGCGGCAGCAACAATACCAATTACAATAAAGACAGACATTTAGCCAGGATTCATTTGGAACAGGACATGTGCACAACAAAAAATAAAGGAAACCAAGAGCGAGGATGAAAAATTTGCCAAATGTATTCCAGCAACGAGTTTCTAATGGAAACAATTAAGTCATTAGCAAGTGTTGATTTTAGTGAGCGATGAGACGGGTTGGGGATTTAGCTAAACTAATGTGCTCGGGCCATAATGGAGTCCTTCGGGACTCCACACACACACACACACACATACACTGGAATAGTTGCGTTGCCAGTGTGGCAGACCCAACTCGTTGGGCCGCCTTACAAATGCCTCGCATTTTTCTCAATTACAATGAACAACTTACTTTCGGGTTCACTTTTCGGCACAAACCACCTTCTGCGCCTCCCCCTCACTCGTTTTGGCCACACAGCCATGTGGCCATGTGAGTGTGTACGTCAAGAGGTGAACTGACTGCCATTTTTTAACCATGATTGAAGAGTTAAATGTTGTGGCACTTTGAGCGGGCTCAGTTAACTTTTTGGCAAATGACTTTCGGCTGTATTAACTGTTGGGATACGGCGCTTAAATGGCGTTTACATGCTGTCATTTGGTGTCAAGGTGGAACTTTGGCGATTTAGAGCTTATCTTGGAAGATCTTTTACTTGGGCTTTTGTAGTTCAGGTACTTTTTTAGATTATTTTCTTAATATAATTCATCAACTCAGTATCAATAATAAATAGTCACGATTCAGCCCTTTTCTTTTTGACATAAGGCCTTTTTTCCTTATTTATAATCTGTTTGTCGCACTAAATTGTAATGCAACAAAATGTAGCTTATTTATATAAACACTGTACCTTAGCGCTTAAAAAAAAAAAACATATGTATGTTTAAATTTATCAGAACTTAAAATCATAATCAAAAATGGAATAGTAAAAATAAATTTTGAGAAAAACGTTATACTTAAAAGGGGTCCTATTTGTTTTTAATGCATTATTTTAAAAAGTTATATGATTAAAATTTAAATAACGTTTTTAGATATTTAAAATTTTCCGAAAATACCAAAATTAAATATTAGAAATTTATTATTTTAAATAAACAAATGCAGCAATGTATGAAATTCAAGCGAATTATATTAAAGTTGAAATTTTGTATTTACCAGTGTAGATATTTTTTAAAGTTGCTAAGCTTGTAGTCTTAGATTTCGGGCTTCAAATATTATATATTTTATATATTTTCCTCTCCTCAATGACTTAATCATTTAAATTGTAGCCAAAGACCCCTGGCAAAGGGTTATCTCAGCCAACCCGACCATATAGGAAAAGACCGATTCGACTTTATCAGAGAACGTCATTTACTTAAGCATAAAAATGTGTTTTACATAAGCCGGCGACAGATGGAGAGCAGAATTCATAAGGCACAAACAGTCGCTCGATCTCGAGTGTGTCCGAAAATAATGTAGTCTGAATGGGAGCTAATTGAATGAATCATTAATAATATAAGCACAGGCCGCATCCGGACTGGCGAATTGCCGAAAATGCGCGACGAGTGGCTGAAGTTCCAGCCCTCCGTTCCAGTCTGGGATGCGTGGGAAAGGAAATTCAGATGTTACGAGAGCGACGGCACCGGGATGACGGTCTGGAAGAGATGGAGTCGGGCGTCAGCATGGCCCAGCTTGTTGGTGGCGTTGCAGTAGTAGTCCCCAAAGTCCTCCTCCGACACGCTCTCGATCCGCAGCACCGAGGTGGTGGTCTCCGACGAGGACGCGGTGTTGGCCACCTCGTACTGGCGACCGGACTGCAGCTGCACTCCGTTCCGGTGCCAGACGACAGTGGGTGCGGGATAGCCCTGGACGGCGCACTCCAGCTCAGCGCCGTGCGACACCATCTGGGCCACCTTGGGCCGCTGGACGGCAATCTGGGGCCGGAACTCCACCTCCACGCGCACCAGTCGCCGGTCGGGCTGACCCTCTCCGTTCTCGGCAATGCAGTAGTAGCCGCCGCGGTCCATCCGGTGCACCGAACGAATCCGCAGAGTGGGTTCCGAGAGCAGGTGGCCGCCGGCCGGCATCACGGCATTGTGCTCGCGGGCCCACGAGATCGTGGGCTTGGGGAAGCCGTTGGCATGGCAGGTCAACTCCAGGTTCTGGCCCTCCGTCACCAGCGTGCTCTTCGGAGTGCTCTCCGCGATCACCGGCGGCATTTTGATCTGCAGACTCAGCTTTCTGGTCACCTTCTCGGTGGCGGAGACCAGCACCTGGCACTCGTACGGACCCATGTCGCTGACCTCGATGTTCTGGATGCGGAACGTGTAGGTGGCTGTTCCGGATGCGGCTCCCTCGCTGACCGTCACATTGTACCGCTGGTCGGGCAGGCTGAGGATGTTGCGAATGGAGAGCACCACCGAGTTGGTGTCCGTGTCGCTGGGCCGCTTGGCCCAACTCACCGAGAGCTGGCCTACCTGCTCCACGGTGCAGTTGAACTCGACGTTGTCGCCCACCCGGGCCACCACATCCTTGCTGATCTGGGTGATCACGGGGCCTCCATGGACGACCTCCAACGAGATGGCCAGGCCCAGAAAAAGGCCAATGAAAAGCCGCGGATGAGCCATGGCTGTTCTGCAAGAAAACGTATTCGAAATTGTAGTTCATTTTGTTACACTGTGACAAACATCAATAAAGATCTTTCTGTTATCTAAAAACAAAATCGTCAGCCGTTTTAGTCAGATTCTTCTAAAATTCTAAGATCCAAACTTAAAAGATACTGTTCCAAATATTTAACAATCATAGATCCTATGGACCACAATAAAAACTTCTAAGTTTAAAATAATTGTCACATATATTTTCTGAATACCACATCAAGAATGTAGGAGCTTAGCAATTTTTAAATATCTTTTACTTTCGTGATCACATAAATTAGATGTTCTTGTACAAACACACTTGCAATTTAAAAATGTATTTAAATATTTAGTTACAGGGTTTTGCAAATTGTTGTTTAATTACAGGATGTTGCTGCTGAGTTTGTGTCTTCGATTATCTCGATTGTTGTGGGTTCAATGTGCTTCACTTCGCGTTCGGAGCTCGACTGAAGCGGCGGCGGTGACTGAGCTCGGCTCAAAAGTCAGTATCTCGGCCGACGCTCTGTATCTCCGTATCCCTCTATTCCAGAATTTTGTATTGTTCCTGAGCGCTCGTTATCTCCTCAAGACCCAAGAAGAGCACCGAAAATTGTACACCGCGAGAATGAGGCAGATAGACATCGTTATGATCGATTGCCGGGTCTAGAGTCTAGACTTGTGTTGCCTCCTAATGAGCACACTCACAAAAATTGGAATTGCATCTGATTTCGTAAATGTATAATATATATGTACATGTTTTTTTTGTTCCTAAAAAGTTTTTTCTATAAATATAGTGATTTTCGTTTATTTTTATATAATCTATTTTCCTATTTCTCTTCACTATTTAATAAAAGTATGAGATTACATAAAGTTTAAAAAAAAACGGTTTCTTATCTCTATAGTTAACGGACAGTAAATTTTGAAAAAAAACATGAAACTGAGATATTCTTAGTGAAAAAGGTGAGTTTAAAGTAAATTTTTGTACTACTAACATAATAATTAATTCAGAAACTGCAAGAAACAAATAAAAGGTAATTTTTAAAATAGTGTTTAACTAAAGTCATGAATAATGTTTTAGTATTGTAAACATATCCAAATGGTTTTAATATAATGACTTTAAAATTCTTTTACAAAACCATAAAAATTTCCTTTTTTATTTAAAAATTTTGTATAATAAAGTCGCACACTTATTTTACTATGTCAGCCGTATTCTATACTTATTTTCTCTCAATGCATTTGCCGAAGACGAAGTCATCGACGTTTTGGATCTTATCGCCCTTCGTTTTATTTACTTTGTCGCCTTGGCTGTATCTGTATCTGTATCTGTGTTTGTTTCTACTTCTGTGTGTGTGTTTTGTATCTGTGTCTGCATTTCAGCGCTTATTCAAATTGTTTACTTGTGCGTGAGTTTGACTCCGTGCTCACTTATCAATGCACTCTCCTTCCCGCATTGCCTTTAATTGATTTGTTTTGCTGGCGGTTGCAGTTGCTGTTGTTGTTGCCCCCGCCCACTATGCAGCCCCCGCCCCCAAGATAAGTTGTCCGTTGCAAAAACAAAGCTCGGGTGAAAGTGGCCGCGGGCGAACTGAAAGACGGCCTGCGAAATTCGAATTCACATTCAAATTTGTGCCGCCATTCGGCCGTAAACGTTTCGGGGTTCGTGGAAGAAAAGGTGGAATGCGAGCCATTTGTGATTTATGGCATGGCGCGCTACTTTCCGCCGCCGGCGAACAAAAGCAACAACCATGGCGAGCGGATTCTGGAATATCCTTGCCGCTCTGGAAATGCCAGCGATCCCAGCGCCGAGCAGTGCCGTCCCTTTCTGCACAGGAGCAGGGGCGCAGGCGCGAAAAGGCAAACAAAAGGGGGTGGAACGCGAGGCGGGTGGGATTTAACTCGAGTCCTGGCCCAGCCATGCTGGGAAATTCGGCAGGAAATTTAAAGAGCAGCATGCGGGAAATTTAATGAACTTTAATTGTGCTGAGGTTACAACTTCTAAGATAGGGTTTAATTTCTTTTTAAGTGGGAATTTCCAAATTGTGGTCATACTTCTTTAAATCGAACTGGCCAATAGAGAATTGAAGTCCTTTTTTGTTAGTAGATGGTAATTAATGTTATGAATGTACCTGATTATAATACAGCAATGTTTAGAAACTCCGAAATAATAATTTAATAATTATAGTAGACCATTTTAAAATAAATAAGTTCTTTGCTTTATTTTATTTGTGTGTCTTCCTTAAAAATAAAGAAGTTATTTTACAAAAAATTGTTGTATACTTTGACAGGCAAAGTTTTTCAATCTACAACAGATACAACGTTTGTATTTGTATGCATATTTGATTTATTTCTTCAAATTCTTAAGAAGCTGTTAATAAAGTAAATTTAAACTTAAATCAAAGCATTTCACTTGCTGTATAAACACGCAATGGTTTACTGCTAAGCCGTGAAAACTTTCTGACCAATCGCATTTAATTTCCATATTTCTCAGCCCGACTTCGGATCAGCCGCTGTCCAAGTTTCCCCCCCAAGAACCCGTCGAGGTTAACCCGGCTTAACTATGGGAAATGATTGATGACGACGCTGTCTGTCGGGCGAAGGAATATCCTTAAGAGCAAGGAAAACTATAGCCACAGTTTTTGGGAAATTAAATCACATCTTAAATCGTTTCTGTGACTTCTGCTGAAATGAGGCTGAGGCAGAGGCAGAGGCAGAGGACGTTCCCATGGGAGGGCAGCTGCATCTGTCGCCCGACTCGCCTCAACTCCACCTCCCCTTCATCTACCGGCATTCCCGTCTCTGAGTGCACATTCGAATCAGATAATTGTAAATTGTGTAAAATAATAAATTTCCAGTTAACTATCTGTAGACCGCATAGGGCGCTTCTATTCGAACCTCTTCGCCTTCCGTCCCCTCTGTGGGCTTATCCTTGGCCTGCGCTGCATCCCGGCAGCGTCATTATGACCACTGCGTCGATGCCTTTTTGGATGCAGGTCCAGGTCCAGGTCCTGGCAGGTCCTGGCAGGACCTGGCTGCTTTATGCACTCGGACACAGCGAAACGGTCGACTTGGCTCGACCCAACTGGACACACACCGAACGAAAGAGACGGCCAGAGGCTGTGCGAAAGAGATGGCTGCCGATGCCGCTGCCGCTGCCGCTCGCATTCGGGCGCAAGCGGATCCAAAACAGAAAATGTCAAATTTTGTAATTTATTACCCGAATCCTGTTTCTGTCAGTGACTCTTTGGGTGTTTCGCTTCGGCAGCGGCACACGGAGGGTATTCAGCAACAGCAGCAGCAGCAGCAGCAGCAGGGCGGTCGAGCGGGGTGGGGAAAAGTCCTTTGTCACACACTGCGTGTGAATTTGTGGCCCAATTCCGCACAGTGGTACCTCGCACATCCTTTTCTTACAAACTCAAACGTTTTACTCTCTGTTGTTGCCTAAATCTATAGGAAAATCCCCTTAATTCCCTATTTTTAATTATAATATTTGGTAAACATATACTATTGATTATGGTAAGCTTAACCAGCGATTATAAATATCAATTTTTACAGACTAATGTTTAAATATTATTGTACTGGTTTTTATTTGCTAAACTTAATTCATATTACTACACCTTTGGCTTATTGACATTTTAACTACAAAATGCTGTTGAGAAATAAACGAATTTTCCATACTTAAAATATGAACTTTAAATTTAGATTTATTTTATTTATTTCAAATTATTAAAATAAACATTAATTGATTTTACCATATATAAGCTTGTCTCAGAATTCCGTAAAAGATGGTGTTGTTTGTAAAATGGCGAGAACTCAGTTTATTTTCCCGGGTAACTCTTATTTAAGATTAAAGATTTTCTAAAACTACATTTAGTTAGACTAAAAAACGCTATCCAACCGACTATTTTAAATTTGATCTAAGAGCCACCACTGTACTTTTGTGTGTATCCTTTGGCTTTGACTATGCGCGCTTATTTTGTTTGCTTTTCGGCTGCAGTCAGACTTCGCCGACGACAATTATTCGGTAAATGTCATCAAACAATATTCACTTAAGACCTATGACACTTGCTTAAAGGTCAACTGACTAGCTGGATTTATTTGAAAAATGGTACAATCCTATTACCTTTAGAAAATCTTTGGCTTTCAATTTGTCTTCAAAGGTCAATAGTGTGCCTAATTTAATCTAACAATCCACTAAGTCAAAGCCAAATTTGTATAATATATTAATTATTATTGTTTGTTCTTGATAACGGGCTATTACAGCAATAATCCTTAATTGAACTAAATAATATTTTCTCCAGTTTTATCAAAGAGTAGAATTATTAACCGCCCTGGGCAGGGCATATAACTTTTTAAATGCCAAAACATTAAAGTTAAAAAAATACGTAAAAAAAACTATAAATAACGTTATGACCTTCAGCCTTTGTCAGTGAGCTATTTTATCTACATAGTGCTGGCGCCCTCTGCCAAGAACTCCATGTACTCACACTTTCTGCATCGTTGCCTGACTGTTAAATTTATTTAAACGCAAGGGCAGTTTCCAACACTAACTAGAGCTGCCACCCAATTTGTTAGCTTGTGCACCCACCAGAATCAGCGTTGCCATAGTTTGCTAAGTTTGCTGAGCCGCCGAATTTTACTAGTGAGAAATTTGACCGAAATTTAAAACATAACAATTAAAAATTTTAAAGTTTCCAAGGAATAATGTGCTCGTCGTTCAAGAATCTCAAAATTATACAGCCGGGCGGAATGCAGATCTCCTGCGTCTACTTTGAGGGCGACCTGGGATCAGTTTCCATTCCAAAAGCGCCGTCGACCACAAAAAATTCGAGGTACCAGCTCGACACAAGCACAAAGGTTTGATATGTCTCAGAGTGACGTGACAGACTTTTAAAATCTCTGGGTCTTCAGCTTTTATAGTTGCCGAGATCTCGACGTTTATAATCTACGAGTAATGGGTATGAGTACGTTAAAAACCTTAATTTAAATACAAAAAAGCTAAACATAAAGCTTGCTATCATAAAAAAGCCAGATTTGACGGGACAATTTTAAACTGGAAACCCTAAAACATCGACTACCAGTGCTGCCGCTTATGTTTATTTTATCTTTTTCGCTTTTCGCTCATCCCTAAGTAACGGCACTTTACAGATGCAAAGCAAGTCGATCGCAAAATCGCAAAATGTTGGTGAAATAAGCTCGCGAGCGTCTCGAACGTAACCGGTTACCCAAAATACACAATATTTTCCACCTTCTATTTGCATTTCGCTAAAATAACGCGGCGGAGTGTTTGGGGAAAATGGCGCAACCGCCGACAGATCAAAACTTCTACCATCACCCGCTGCCCCACTCGCACACACATCCGCACGCTCATCCGCATCCGCACTCGCACTCGCACCCACATCATCAACATCCGCAGCTTCAGTTGCCGCCACAATTCCGAAATCCCTTCGATCTGGTGAGTGGAATGGCCTTAACCCTCCGAAATTATTACGTTTGTGC